CTGTTAGGAGCGATGGCGGGGGGCGTGGGATACCGGGGCGGGCAGGAGAGCGACTGGGTGTCTCGTCTAGGAGAGGACCTCGTGGCCTTCAACATGGGAGACGAAAAAGAAGGGGGTAAATGGAAAGAGAGCGCCAAGGATCCGGAGGTGTGGTACATTAAGGTCGAGGACGGGGCGGCATGGTTCATGCGGAAATGGCACAGGCAGGAGGCGGAAGCGTCCGCGAAGCGCCAGCGCGCCGAGGGAAGCAGAAGCAGAGAGTACGGCCATCTCAGCACCGAAGAGAAAGAGAGTCGGGGAAGCGGCGGTGGGGGGGAAGAAACGGCGACCGGGCACTGCTTGCTGTAGAAGCAAGTAGGGGGGCCGAGGCAGCACTTGTGGCGAACTTTGTACCCGGCTGATGTTGTTGCGCCCTGTTTCCCTCCCTGCTGTATGCTATACTCCTTTATGTACGGCCTTTGTATTGCCTTCGGCCTCTGTGCTGTGTTTCTTTTTTTCATGACCTCCCTGCCTACTCTGCTGTGTTGGGTAACTTGATCTCGCTTTAGCTGTTGCTTTTGTTTTTGTACGTCTGGCTATCTGCCCATCTGCCGCCTCTTTGTCCTGTTTGCTCCGTTANCTGGTGCGCAGTGCCTGGTGCTGGTACGTTACCCTTTGATTTTTTCTTTGGGCGGGTGTGGGAAGCGTCCTCCTTTATTTTTGTTTTTGTCTTTTTTTGATCGGTTTCCGAGGGCTCTTTTCTCGAACGGTCGGTGCGATACCTATTCTTTTCTTTCCATCATTTTGTTCCCTTTTTCCGAGTGTTTTGTACCCTAATTTTGTTTTTTTTTCCCGCGGCGTCGGATGTACCGGGTTTTGAGACCACGGGCTCCCCATTTTTTGTGGACTAGCGTTAGAGCTAATGTGAGAAACAACAACAACAAAACATCAATACCGAGAGACCCCGCTAGCTGTGGTTGCTGTTCGCGGTGAGGTGGAGAACAGACCATTAAACGTTCCGGCTTCTACTACTGTAGTTCCTATCGATTGAAAAACTACCCGCTATCCATCTGGGCTATCCAGAGGCTCAATTACATGCTACGCCGATCACTGGTACTGGTGCAGGGTGAAACGCCTCGGCGCACATGAAAAATGTTCCGCACTTTCACGCCGTGTATATGGCGGGGACCCCTCCAAGCCTAAATGTCATGTCGTTTCGAGCGTAGAGCTATTCCGTAGGTTGCATAAGGTATCACACCCCATGGACCGATTTTCGAAGCTCGATTACTCCACGACGAAAGATGATGCCGAATTGAAGCATGCATTTTCGGCAAGCTCTCGACGAGGCGGTTTCCAACGACGCCATTTACGGTGTCGTCACTGATTTCTCTGCCGAGATATCGAGCTCCGAAAATCGCTCCAGGGGGTGTGATATCTTACGCAACCTACGGTATATCGATCGGCCTCGTGATCTCGTGTGGTGGTTTAATTTAGACATCCAAAATCAGGTGTCGTGAGTAATTAGTTGCCTGAAACTCTGCCACGTTGTACTCCAATTGATTTTCCTGAACAATACTCAGCTGGCGCACTCCGCATGACATCCACGCACACACACACTCGGAACTCCATTCACCGCACCGCACTCCCCGTCAAGACAACGCACAAACAACTCACCAACCAATCAACACACGAGAACGAAAGGATAGACGACCCCCTCGCCTAGAGCAAAGTGTGATAAATGCCTAGCATACATACGTGCGGCGAAAACCTCAGCAAATATTTGTCCCAGCCGCCTTGAAGGACCCACCACGCCAAAGCGTTGACGGGTCATCGGCTTTCTATAAAAAAAAATCAACATTCATTCCATGAGCGGAAGCGCCCGGACGGTGAAAAATAGACGACGTCCTCTAGGCGGAATTTGACGTATAAATATTACAATCAACCAATAATATGGCCGGGCGCCACAACTACAGGAGCTCTCCGTCAGAGAGCAAGTCTTCGATAACAACGGCGTCCCTGTTTGAAGCCGATGAAGGTATAGACTAGCCGAACGTGTAGTGCAAATGGTGTGACACGTCCCATGAACATACCTACCTGGCACCGATCAAATCGGCTCTTCTTCTCTCCGGTTCCGCAGGAGATCCCGACCTCCCTCCCGAACACACAAGTACTCCACCACCCCACCCAACCCCCCGCAAACCGGCAATCGACACCACACTATTCACATCGATTGTCTCGCACCCCAGGCATACTTGCCGACCGCTATACGCTCGGCGGTTCTACTGCCCACCGCCCGCCCACGCCCAGGGGTCATCGAGTTACCCCGCGATCGCCCAGAAACGATCCCAACATTCTGGTTGCTCTTCCCCTGCGGACAAGAAGGCACGCAACGCCCTAAACGCGTCCTAGAAAACATCACGCGCCCGTCTTGTCCCCACCCCCCCTGTTGTCGTTTTAGATGACCACGACCAAGGCGAAGCCCAAGCAAACGACCGTAACCGCCGACGCTACCACCACACGGCTCGCAGCCCACCCCCCCCCCTGCGAAGCCCCGCTAACGAGCTCCCACCCTAGCGACGGCGCCGCGCTCACGTATCGAACGTCCCGCGAGCCAGCGGTGGGAGCGGCCGACGAGCCATCCTCCGAGATTGGCGCCCGCGTGGCTCGGCGTTCAGATGCGGCTACCGTAGGCGCGGCAGTCGGGCTTGCTGAAGGTGAAGACGTCGATACTGCAATGCCGCCCGGGGGGAGGGGGGGGGGTCAGGATGAGGTCGGCGCCGGTAAGCATACATGTGCATGAGTGAGGTAGGCGGGGCGGGGGAGCAAGGCGTTTCGACAGCAGTTCCCTCAAGAACGTGATTTTCTACGCACTTGTCGTCAGCCCTGCCGGCTGGTTGTGTCGTCGGTGATGTAAATGGACTGTTCAGGGTTGTGATGGTGACAGTCTTATGTCGAGCAGGGGTAGGTAAGTCCTAGCCTCGGAAAAAAAAAGGGAAAACGATCCATCCCCGATGCCGACCGGCCTAAACATCCGAGATACATGTAGAGGAAAAACGCTGACACTACCAGCCCACGCCACGCCATCGTGAAGCTTTCGCCGTCGTCGACGATGGCATCTAGCTTGCCCTCTAAAGCGGAAAGGGATACACACTCCGCTCGGAGTTAAGACGTTCCCCCCGGAAACAAGACGCCGTTTTCTCGTATTCCGTGGAGACCTCGAACGACCAATGGCCCGGCCCAAGAGGAGGGTTTGCGATTGGTTGAGGTTGAGGCGGCGACCCAGGCTGCTTGCTGGATCTGTCGTTGCTCTCACCCGCTCCTGGTTCCGAAATACCTCAAGTTCGATTTCGACGCGCTTCTTCAAGCGGCATGATTACTTTCAGATGGATGCATGGTCTTTCATCATGGAAAGTGCACGCAAACGAGGCGCGCGCGTCAAAAAAGAAAACGGCCGCCACTGCTTACGCCATCATCGTTGGGGTCGAGATTAGGAGAAACAAAAAATTAACGGTATCACGTATTTGGACTTGGAACCGCGGGGACTCCATTGGCAGTTCGGGGATCAAAAGGCACAGCAGGAGACATACTACTTTGGCACAGATCAGGGGCGGGGGGATGTTTCCGAAACATCTCGAATGGTGTGAAGAAACACACGTACTTGGCACAAAGACACCTTCCGGAGTCAGCGTGGTAATGTCTTCCGTCGGGGCGGTTGTGACCGTGGCAGAGGGAGACGTCGTACCAATCGACCTCGACCCAGCGGTGGGCTGCGGCGTTGCGGCAACGTCGGCGGCGGCGGGCGCCGTGGTTGTTGCAGGAATGGCGGCGGGCGCCGGCGTTGCTCCTGCGGCGGTGCTGGGTGCCGGCGTGGTTGCCACCGCCGCAGTGGGTGCCGGCGTTGCTCCTGCGGCGGTGCTGGGTGCTGGCGTGGTTGCCACCCCTTCAGTGGGTGCCGGTGTTGCTCCTGCGGCGGTGCTGGGTGCCGGCGTTCGACCCCCGACGGTGGGCGAAACGGTGGCCGCCGCGCTCGGGGCCGGCGTCCCGTCAGCTCCGGGGCAGAAGAGGTCTACCTGGAAGCTCCCGCGGGAGGACTGCCCGTGGTACCCGAAGGCGTTGTCGTTTCCCAGGGCCCAGATGAGGTGGATCTGCGAGCCCGGCTCCTCCGGGAGGGTTTGCTTGAGCGAGCTGTCGGGCGTGGTGTTGCGGGTGAAGGAAAAGGTCGTGTCGTCCCCGTCCTGCGAGAACTCGATGTCGCTAAGCTCGTCCGTGTCGCGGTCGTCCTCATCCCTGTCAAGGACCACCTCCGACTGCATGGGTCGTGGGGTGGGGTGGGATGGGTATGTGTGTGAACGCCTGGATGGTTGTGGGTGCTTCTGCCCCGACGGAATCCATCCGCGTGAGGCGTCGATACGGCGCTCTTCATTTTTTGAATCGCACGCCACGAAAGTAGTATTTAATGGTCGTCCCAAGTAAACGATAAAGGTACCAAACACCGGTGAGCTACCCTCACCTGGGTAGTGGGGGGGGAGGCGTTCTTCCGCCGCCGCCGTCGAATTGGTGGTCTCCACGCGCAAAAGCTATAACCCCACTCCACCAGCAATACCGATTCGCGCGAACGACCGAGAAAAATCACGACCGAAAAAACGGCACACGTGGCTCGCACGCGGCGTGGTTTGCACGCGGCACCACATCAATCTCCGGAGATCCGCTGGACTGCAGTACCTGTGCGTCGAGAAACTGTTCCGAAACTTCTTCGTCCTCCGGGCGGTAGATGACGGCGTCCGACCCGACCATGTCTCCGTCCGGCGAGAACCCTACCGCCGTCCATTGCTCGGACTCGGCCTCCACCTGTGTTTCCCGAATGACCACCGCCGTCGTACCGGACAAACGCGCGAACCGTGGGGGTGCGGGTGAGAGGTGGCCGGAAATGGCGAAGCAGGGTTTGTTTTTCTAAAGCTTTGCGAGTGCTGCTGGCGATGGACAGGCGTGGTGGGTCACTTGTTTCTTTTGCGATGAGAAGTCCCCCCTTGATCATGATTGTTTTTTTACTCCGGGTAACCTTCCGGTGACTTCAATTGGAGCAATTACAAGCGAGAGGCGACAGACTGTCGAGCTTTGATATGACATTATACAGGAATTGTTCTGTGCCCAAAAAATCGAGCACGTATGCGTTACGATTCGATAAAAAATGTGTTTTTGTGACCAAACGTATGTGGCAAGGGCACCGATGCTTCCTGCAAGCACTCGCCAGTCCAAACGACAACAGGCGTCGGCACGTGAGGCACGCGCTGCGGGAGGAACACCTGCACCTTTACGGCCATTTACGTTCGAAGATGAGATGGAAATGAAAACGAAAATAACTCAATCGGGAACGAAAATTGCAAAACGCGCAGACAGCCGTAAATCATGGATATCTATTTCAAACAAAAAAAATTACACCAGAAGAGAGCGGTAGGTAGCGATGCGGTTGTTCGTAGGCCCCCCATGGTTTTGAGGACGGCGGTGTGTTCACGGACGAAATACTTTCTGATCAGTGGTTTTTGGTAAGCTGTTGTGGAGGTTGGGGATATTCAACCTTTGCCTTTTCAGAGATGCAAGCAAGACCGGTATCGGTGGAGGGTTGAATGCCAGCAGGTTTTCCTAAATCACATGTATACACACACATTCATGTTCTATTTTCAGTGCCGCAGGATTTCTGTCTGCGTGTTGATTTGACCCTTGTGGGTGATTCTTCGCCTGTGACCACGGACGGCGTCCACGTAGGTTGCGGCGGACAGACGTTAAGAGGGGGGTGGGCTGAGACCAGATTGCATCGTGAAGACGACGGTAACAACAAACAACAGAGCTGTCGGCTACGCTGCAGGCAAGGCAACAAGTTGTCCTCTTCTTGGCAGGGCTCTCTCTACCTATTGGCTCACCATGAAGGAGACTGTGTCCGTGTCGTGCGTCCAGTAGATGATGAATCCGTGGGTTGGAGAGTGCTGATCAGTAACACATGTTGTGGCAACAAGGCGAAAAGGGCATCGCAAAAAATGGGCGGCGTATGTTGCGCAACAAGGTTGGACGGGGGCTGGGACACAGGAACAGCATCAAAAACAAATTGCTGTGAGTACCGTTTTCTTTTAAAAATAAGTAAATACTTCAAGCATATGTTAGGACCAAGCAAACCACACGGAGGTGGGCCAATCATCGCAAGGCAGGGGGGGGGTCCGGGGGGGGGTTTACCCTGCCCCCGGCACACTTGGGTGGACCCAGCAAACCACGCGTGAGGTGAACCAAGCATCGCAACGCCGGGGGGGGGCAGAGGAGACTCCATCTAAAAGCATCTACAGCAGTACCAGTGTACAGCAGTATGTAGTCTTGTACCTGGAGTAGTACTACTGCTGTATAGAGGTGTGCGTGCATACAATAGAGTGGCTGCGGTGACATCTATCTAGCGTACAACGGGCTCCATCGCAAAGCACCTGAGGAGTTCTATCAAGTGTGTTACTGTTGATGCTGCTGGTGCACACCTTTGTACGCACTGCAGCTGTGTGTGTGAACCTCTCGCTGTGTGTACCATGGCGGCGCTGCTGTGATGGTACATACAGGTACTCCATGCATATTGTATGCAGACATAGCAAGATCTTGTAGCTTGTAGCAGCAGCAGTCACACGCACATGGGACGGAGCCCCTGGATACCCCTCAGTACAAAATCTTCAATCGCAGGGGGAGGGGGGGGGGCAACACCTACGGACATATGCATATGTCGCTCCTTTGTGACCTGGGCTGCGGGAGTTGCGTCCCCGGAAACCAAAACGCCTTTACAACACTTCAGCAGCAGCAAGCAGCAAGCAGCAGCAGCAAGCAACACAGCAGCAGCACGAACACACAAACAGCCAATAGGCACCAGCCTGCTCACCTGCATGGCTATTACTACTTGGTGTCATCCACCACAGACGCTTCCTACGTCACCTCTAGCATGGAACTTGAAGGACCCACGCACTGCCAGCAGCCAACATGGTATCATAGCGTAGCAGCTACATGTATTTGTATTACAGCAGCAGCAGCACCACAGGACTACTACTACCTGTCCAAATGTCAACCCTCTCCTCCAAGCGTCATAGATAGGCGCACACATAACCTACGGCAAGTGCAGTTTCTGCACGTGCGTCTCGCTCTGTGTGTATGTGTATGGCTCTCTCTCTCTCTATCTCTCTCTCTCTATCTCTCTCTATCTCTCTCTCTGTCTCTCTCTCTCTGTGCCTCTCTCTTTCTCCTCGAATTCGTGTCATCATGCTGTGTCATCATCTATGCCTTTTCAACTGGGGTAATTACTCTCTGTGCGACTGCCGCGTTGACAACACGAGGGACGCGTCAACGCGGGGGCAGTCACCCTGGGTGGAGTCTCCAGGCTTTTCGTAGCAGGAGGCCTCATTTCATCCCAAACTCTACATCGTCGACAACTATTCCGCCATATTTTTGGAAAGTTCTGTAGGGTACGGGTAATGTCTGTGGGGTATTGGATCTGTTACAGAACCGGAGGGTAATCTCTGTAGGGTGCGGGATGTGCTACAGAACTCACAGAAGCNCAGGAGGCCTCATTTCATCCCAAACTCTACATCGTCGACAACTATTCCGCCATATTTTTGGAAAGTTCTGTAGGGTACGGGTAATGTCTGTGGGGTATTGGATCTGTTACAGAACCGGAGGGTAATCTCTGTAGGGTGCGGGATGTGCTACAGAACTCACAGAAGCGTAGGGTATTGTGGCATGACCGTCACAGAACTCACAGAAGTGTTGGGGTATTGTATACAGAACAAAAGGGTAGTCTCTGTGGGGTATCGGGTGTGCTACAGAACTCACAGAAGTGTAGGGTATTGTGGTGCAACCGTCACAGAACTCACAGAAGTGTAGGGTATTGCGGCACGACCGTCACAGAACCCACAGAAGTGTTAGGGTATTGTATACAGACCAAGAGGGTAATCTCTGTGGGGTACCGTGTGTGCTACAGAACTCACAGAAGTGTAGGGGATTGTGGCATGACCGTCACAGAACTCACAGAAGTGTTGGGGTATTGTATACAGAACAAAAGGGTAGTCTCTGTGGGGTATCGGGTGTGCTACAGAACTCACAGAAGTGTAGGGTATTGTGGTGCAACCGTCACAGAACTCACAGAAGTGTAGGGTATTGCGGCACGACCGTCACAGAACCCACAGA